GGAGCAAGCCAGAAACGGGGGTAAAGTTTGGTGCTGTTTAAAGTTCTTAGATGACAACAGAATCCTAAATCTTAAAATTGTTGATTTTGATTTTGAAGGAATATCTAACGTCAGGTTCAATTCTTTGCAAAGGCACCTTTATAGAAATTCATAGCAGACTAATGGAAGTGACCATCAAAAAAGGAATTCGAATGATCATTATCAGAAGACTTCACAATGGCTACCTACTCTGAATCAGCCATTGCTCAAAGCACTGGAGGAGGGGAACAAATATCCTGACATCTCCTCTGTCCTGCTCTCCAATGCCCTGCCTGCCACTGCCTCCCAATGGTTAAATCTATCCAGAAGCTAGTTGAAAAGAAAACCAGAGGAATAAGATGGGTGGAGGGCAGCATCTTGCAATATACAGTGACAAGAAGGGAAGGAAATGGAATGGATTGGTGAGCACAGGGTATGTGAATGGTACACCTGGGTTATGAAATCCACAAAGGTCTATATTTCAAGGGTATAAATTAGTTGAAAGCATTCATATGTCCTATCAAAGTTAAAGTACCTATTCTCTGGAGTTTAGCAAAAGCCTTTACAGTATCTCAGAATACATTATAATTCCAGTGAAAGAACTGTGGTCAACAAATACTCTTGACAGCCACCTTCTGTATCCTTACTAGTTAAGGTGTAGACCAAGGTGCCCAGGCCATCAACTTCCAAAGACCTGCTGGCAATGCGAAATTGCAGGGTCTACACAAGACCCACTGAATCATGAACCTGATTTTAACAAGATCCTAGGGTCATTCGTGTTTATATTAAGTTCTCACTTAATGTCCTGGATAGGTTCTTGAAAACTGTAACTTTCAGTGAAACAACATACATCGAAACCAATCTTACCATAGGCTAATTGCTATAAACAAAGTTTAAGTTCCTACAGCATCCTTTAGTCACAAAAATATCACCAAACTTCTAACTAAAGACTTAAAACATTTCATTAAACAATGAAAAAAATGTGGGATTTATATCCATTTAAGAAAGATTGATCCAGACAAGTAAAATATCTATTTACCCAGTTTTTGGTGAATCATGAGTGACAGCAGTCATAGCAGTGGTGGGGTAAATCAAGGAATATATGTTTGTAAAGCGAAAATTGTCAAGAGCACATGGTAGACTATCACCCTACCATCCCAAAGTTCAAAGACAAACAATCATGAATATTAGGGGCTTGCTGAGTGCTTTAGTATCACAAGGTTTGTTACAGTGCACTGGTATAGATTGTCATCTATGAATTGCATTTCACAATCGTTTGTATTCACCCATTCATTTTCCCACCTCTTTATTCTAGTTTAGAGGGGCAGGTGGCCAGAACATCTCTCAGCAGCTTCCTCCCAAGGCAGGAGTCAGCCCTGGACAGGATGCCATCCCATTTCAGGGCACACTCACATGTACACCCTGGCACCATGGAGACACAGCAATTCATCTCACCCGCACAGCTTTGGAATGTGGGAGGAACTGGGAAGACCCGGAGAAAACCCAGAGAAATGGGGCGACCATGGGAACTCCAGACAGAGAGGGGCCACAGCCGGGAAGTGGTTGGCTTGGTTTTTTTCTCATCAACATTATAATAAAATGACATTGAACAAAACCATGTTATCTGGGGACCTGATACATATTAAAGTTTGAGAAACTCTATGTGATGAGTACCTTCTATGTGATGGTACCTAGGCTCTTTCTTCCTCACCATTAGTATTAGAATTTAATAATACCTACATTGTAATAACTATAATTTAACTCCTTATAATAAAGTGTTACAGTATATATTATGTCCTTAGTTCCTCACTAGACCCTGGAAGACGAGCCTCAGAAGGCACCATTATCATACAAATGAGGAAATAGAGGCACAAAGAGATTTAAATAAATGGCTCATAGTTTTGAGCTAGTGAGTGGTTAACCCGGGTCTGGACTAAATTGTTAATGACACGTTTAGTGATCTTTCCAGTACTGAGATGAGGCATGGAGGGTGGGCAGGTGAAGCAGGGACAGTCATACAAACCATTACAATATTTGAGGCCATATTTTGAATTAACCACAAACGAACTAAGTGCAAAATTGGAATTGAGTTATCTTTAAGAAAACAGATGCTTTGTGCAAAGTAGAAGTGTTTATTTAATCCCATTACATTTTCGTTTCTGTATAAACAATTGAAGATGTTAATGTCAACATCTTAATTATTTTAGTACTTAAATATAGTTTTCATCTACTCCCAAACCACATAAGATCATAGTCGTGGGAGGTCTTTTCTATTAATTTTCCTGTGTTGTGTGTTGTCTTTTATTTGTTGCCAGTGAATGAGGACCTATATAGCACCTGAAAACTAATGTTTCTCTCTCTCCTCACCAGCATAAAGACATACATCGCTGATCCAAATAAAACAATAAAGCAACTTCAAGGAGATAACTGCATTGGCCTAAAATTTGTCACAACTTGAACAGCAGCAGCAAAAACTCTCTTTGTGGTCGTCATTTAAATTGTGATTGAGCTGCAGAATTTTCACTCTTTTATAATAGTCTAAATAAGTACAGGAATGATTGTCCTATTCAAAGCTCTTGATGTTACCCATATCACTAATAGCCAGAATGTGTCACTTTCATAAAAAAAATTTTTTTAGTCTGCATTCAAGGTATAAGCATCAGTCCTAGGTTGCCTATAGATTGTAGCTAACAGGACAAATAGGGTTTTCCTGAAGTACCCTTGCAATGACTTTGGTTCCTGGCCCATTTTCTGGTCCATCTCTTTTCCCCTACACTTGGCCAGCCATGCTAAAGATGGAATACTTGTCCTAGTGATAACTGAAAATGTTCATAAATTATAAGTGCACCATTCAGCTCAAATGGATTCACTTAGACAGCAAAACAGATTGATTTTCTCCAGCAACAAACAATGAAGTGCTCTCTTCAGTTTCTTGTAATTAGTTCTAATATCAACGAGCAAATTAAAAGGTTACAAGACCAGATTTCTCCATCAGGGCCTTTTCGGCCCTTTCATAACCTGTACAGTGGCCTTCTCTTGAACTATAAGGTGGATAAATGAGGGGAATGCTGATTTTGGCATCCAGCTTACTCTCGGATAATCTAGCTCATCCTTCTCCGCTGACATGAGACAGAAATAACATCAAAGAGTTATAAACTCTTTCTTGCCAACCTGGGGTTCCACGGTTCATTGGCCCCAGGCCTAATCTATCAATCTATTTTCTACAAAATAAAAGGTGAGACATGCATTACAGATCTGTTATAAGCCGTGGCAGGTGGTCTATGACAAAAACAGAATACATCAACCAACCCAGTATTCAGTGTCCCTTTTCTACAGTTTGAAGTCCTAGGGGTCAGCTGACATGGATAATAGTAGTCAGGATTTAGTATTAAATCTTTTTAGGTACATAAATAAACTCATACATCTTGACGTATGAGTATAAAGATTAGACAGAAAAGTTCCTTTTTGGTGTGCTTCTGACCTTTTATAAAAATAGGCCTGTTATTTTATTTTTTCATTAGACATTGGCTTTGCAGGTGCTATAATAAATGAAACTGGGTTAGAATTTACAATCGGTGCACTTAAATATAGCCTTTAATCTTCTTCCTTGTTCAACCCAAGTTTAAGGAGTTGGCATATGAAAATCTCCATTTCATTCCATTTTGAGATTATTAAAATTATTAGACAGGAATGAAAACTCCTCTGCTCTCAGGGCCGATGCTATATGTTCCAGTCAGTAAAGGCACTGCAGAAACTAAGGGCAAGAGAAAAAAAACTATCTTAGCAAAATCCCTTATTATATCATTCCTTCTCCTTTCTAAAATTCATTGTTATAAGCAAACACCTTTTTGAAGTAAAGGGCTTACTTAAAAAAATGTTACACTGAAGGTCAAGAGTTAAGAATTTTTTTCCTCCTCCTTTTTCATCTTTTTTTTTTTTTTTTTT